TAACACATATGAAACGTCGTCGTCTTCAAAGAATACATCACTGCGGAGAAGATGGTGTAAAGCTTTATCAAGTACACAGAGATGACATCCGAATTGATTAAACGAGAAAATGTTTCAGAATTCCGTCATGCGTGAAGAATAACTGGTCTTATCCGAAGTATACCGGCAATATTTCAGAAAGTCGAGACCGATTTGTTCGAAAGCGCAGTCTCAATCTCTCAAGGAAACAGGAATATAGCGAGAAAGTTTGATTAGTTCGGATAACGATACCGGGAAGACGAAAACCCATGTAACAGAGAATAAATCAAACGAGACAAATTAACGCTAAATAGCGAGCATTTTCCATCGAGAGTTGTATTCGTTGACATTTTTGACGCGCATTGTAGATTTTCTACAATTTTGATCGATAAAAATAAAAACAAAGATTACATATATTGTTGTATAGCATTAATTCCTATTTATAACACGAGTAAGGATAAAAGAAAGTAATCAGAGACGTATTAAACATCACAAACTTCCTTTTCCACTAGCAGATTAACATCTTAAGTTCCGATTTACATCGCCGCGATCGACATCAATGAACGCTAATTAATCCTTAACGAGGATCGTAAATAAGGCCGCGACGGCTGAAGCTTTCAAAGTCAGTCAAACTCAGTTACTTAAATTAGATCCAAACGTCCCTTAGCCAACGGCAAACCAATAAAATCTTCCATTACCGCATAACAGCGCGTCAACGTGAAATGAACGCGACCGCGCTTAACTTCTGGTCTCTGGGTTCTCCAGGGAGGAACACGGCGGCAGACAGAGAAGCGGTCGGGGCAAAAAGGGATAAGTCGGACGAGGGATGGTGGATGCAGAATCCGGAGGCAATATTTCACGGTACTTCCCGTACGACGCGTCTACCGCTTCTACATACTTCCCGCTCGCTCTCGCCCTTCGATTGCCCTCCCTCCTTCTCTCTCTTTCTCTCTCCCTCTCTCTTTTGCATGTAAAGTGACGGTAAATTTACTTACAGTCTGAACGGTATTTCAAGTGTATGTGAAGTTTCTGTCACCGTTCATCAGATCGCACCTTCAACGCGAGGATCAGATCGCACCGATAAGAGCGTCGAGCAAAAGGAGGCTTCTTTTTTTTTGCCATTTTTTTGTTGCGCAACTTCGATATTAACTATGTATCTGCTCCGGCGAAACAGTCAAGTTCAATGATAATAGCGCGATCTAATGATAGCGGCGTCTCCGCTCTGCATCGATCGTATTCATTCACTAGTCATCTGCATAATCGTAACGAAGAACTTTGACGGTGCGCCGCGGAACTCTCTAATGTATTATATTAACATAATGTTACCGCGTTTTCCACGAAGGATACATCGCGATATGTAACCCGGAGGGGATGCATTATACAAGAGTGGTCTATATACGCGCTCGGAGCTACTTGCATATACACTTCGTTCTAAAAGTTACGAAGAGCTGTTTCATCCAGAAAATACATAAAGTGATTCAAAATGCGCGTTCCTGAAGATTCCACAAGTGGCAGTCGCAAATTCTATACAGAAACTTTCGTTGAGCTAAGCGTCACCTCTCACAAGCACGCTTCTCCCAGAATACAATATCAAGAGAATATAATATCTCACATTTTACAAAATATTAAATCTTATTTCTTTTATAAATTTGTTGCTTAAGTTTTTTGTAAATATTTTTCTTCAAATTAGCTAACAATTGTATTAGATTATTGTATTAAGACAAGCATTGTTTTAGACAAAATTGATTTAAGCCGAAGCCACTCTAATCACAAAAGTGAAAAGACATTTGCAAGCGATGGCCGGACTAATCTCGACATATAACAGGCATAACAAGTTCTCAAGTCCGCGGCAACTTGTTAACAATCGCCCGCGGGGCGACACTGCTGCGATGCAACGTGTGACGCCCAGGACGCTGTTGTGCATTACGCAAATGAGGCATAAACTCTGTCGCTCAATGGAGATTATTAAACAAGTAAATCACTTAGTGGCCCTCTCATGCAGGGAGACGCATTTGCATGTTGCAGAGTTGAACGGAGTCACATAAGAGAATAAGCCAATATTGAAAAAGTAAAGCCCGAATGTTTGTGCGCGCGCATAAGACGATTATAGATATAACTATAGAACTATAGATAGATAGAATTATAGAACGGTGCGAATTTTCGAATAAATTGAGACATCAAAAAGGAAGGCGGTAAACGAAGTAGCTATAAAAGAGAGAATTCGTTGAGGAAATCGAAGAACGATTAGATTCGTCGACCGGCACTCTTGCAAGAAGTTTAATTCGGAATTTAATATATTCTCGCGCGACACTGAAACGCGAAATTAATGGAGTAACGTAGATAAAATGCAATAAAGAATGAAAATCGAATGAAAATCGTGATTAACGTCGGGCGTTTTTCACTGACGGGATTAAACGGGCATTTCTTGCTCGCACTAATAATTATCACCGCGTTCATTACATTTGGTGAAATTATTTGCGATAGACTTTGCCGGGTAAAATCGCATTTATACATAGATATATCACAAATATATCCTTTTTGGGACATAATAAGTACCTTGATTTTCAAGTCGTCTACATCATATATTTTATAGCACGATTAACGAAATGTAAAAAAATATGTAAAATTTATTCTCGGAATTAGAATTGACATTAATATCAAGTGTCATCTATAGAGATTAAATCTTCTGCTGTTCTAACTAATTCGGCATTTCTTAAATCCGTCTGTCGATGCATTTTGAATAATCCGCAATTAATATTTCATATTTCTAGAGAAAAGCACAACATTATTTTACGTCACAAATTGATGAATGTTTCAGAAATAAATGTCATGTGAAAACGTTTTGCATCGTAAATAGTGCGCCATTGTTCTTAAAATTTTTAAAGAACGTAGGAATACATTTAAAAGCGATTAAATTAAATAAAATAATCAGATATCATGAAGAAATTATTTAATCGCTAAAATATGTTTGCTCGAGCCAACACGAGCCACATGTGTGTGTGCGCGACGCGGGTCACACAGAAGAACCGAGTTATGTACATACATTCCACAACAGTTGTGGTAACGAGAGCAATGTAGTAACTATCGTGACGTTCAGTTAACGATTTTATAACAGCGTCGGGTTACGCTCTGAATTTCAAATGGGCAATTATATACAACCAAGGTTACCGCTACCACCAGCGAAGGAATTCAATGCTAATAATTTAATCATTAAATGAAAATTTTATGAATTTTCGTAATCGAGTAACCATGATGACCTTATATACAATGGGATATATTTTAACAGAAAAACGTGTCACATTTAGAATGTGTCTTAATTATGCACGAATTTCGACAACGGAATTATTATACAAGTTGAAATCGTAAATTTTCCAATTTTTTCCTAATTTTTCCAACTAATTCTAACCTTTGTAAACTTAAATCCTAATTACAATTATAGCATTTTAAGATGGATAAAAACATTAAGTTTGTCCAATCTAGTTTATTCATCAAGATATTATATAACAACGTGTGCAGGATAGTAACATGATCATAGTTCGAAGAAAAATGGAGAATAATAGAAAACATTATGGAAGAAAGCAGGTAAGAAAGATAATCATACTATTGTGAGTAGTTACCTTTGTTAGATGTATGGCAAATTATGTGAACGTAATTTAAAATATCACCTTATACAGGGTGTCTGGCAATAATCGCCCCACCGGTCATATACAGGTAGAGGAGGTCAAATCGAGTAGAAAAGTCCTTTACCATTTTTTGATTTTTGTAATATGTACTAAGTAATTAACGAAAAAAGATTGGTGAATCCGTGCAAGTAAAGCGCGCGCAGCGAGAAGGACATCCCACTGCTATGCGATCACTAGGCGCGCGATGAAGCGTTGGGAGGAGCGCTCTACAAATGACAATGGCAACATACGAGCGGCGCGTAACGCTAGATCCTTGTGTCCTAGTGATCGCGTAGCAGTGGGACGTCCTTCTCACCGCGCGCGCTTTACTCGCGCGGATTCGCCGATCTTTTTTCGTTAATTACTCAGTACTTATTATGAAAATTAAAAAATGGTAAAGGACTTTTCTACTCGATTTGACCTCCTCTACCTGTATATGACCGGTGGGGCGATTATTGCCAGACACCCTGTATAAGTAATACTACAAATATCACTGATACTGATGTGCATAATTGCGAACATGTAATATGCATCATACAGTGATAAAGCAATCGTAGATTTTAATTTTACTATGTAATTTTTCATGTAATATGTGTATGTTTTTCAATTATAATAAAATAAATTACAATTACAAGTTACAATTAACAAATGTCTAAAATGTGTAAATAGTAATACAATATTATTGAACATTTAATTGCAAATAATGCATTACGGAATGTTTGAATGTTTGAATTGAAAAACAGGCCTTTAAGCGATCTTTTTGTTTTCATATATATTACTTTGCTATCATCTTTACAGATTGCGTGATCACAATTTCTAGTTTATAAACTTGAATAAATCTGCGTCTTATATTATCAATATGTTTTTAATTATTAAATAAAAATCAGATGTTCATTAAAAGCAATAGTGAAATAAATATACATAATTTCGAGTTCTGTTATAGATATTAATCAATTATTCAAGATAATGTATTTTTACCTTCAAGAATCAAATAATATGACGTTAAATGTAATATTGTATAATTGAAAAAGAAATTCACGCATTGTAGAAACAATATATAAAATATGGTATACGACATAGTAAATTAAAGTCTACAATTTCTTTATGCCTGTATACTTATTATATTGTCCCAATTATATAGATTTACTACACATAGATGTAATAGCATATATCATTGAAATGCTTTTGTGAAATGGAATCAATGACTAATAAATATTCGTGATTTTAAACAATTCGATAATGCTGTCAGAATGACTTGACTATTGCAAACTTAATTTGAATGCAGATTACTTGCATAAATAGTAGGAAGTAGCGAAATAAGTGACAGTATCGTTCGAGTTTTTCATGTGACAAGTAATTATAGTCTTAGCACTCAGTTAAAAAAATAGTTAAAAAATATTCATCGCAAAACTAAATATACTTCTACACAATGGGATGGCAAGATATTTACAATTATTACATACTAGAATCATCGAGTAAGTATGAACAATTAATTATTTTACAATAATTAATTAAACAGATTATAGACAGAACAGATTTATTGTCAAATAATTAATCCATCTGAAACTCTAATCTAAAACTATTCTCCCTATCTAAATAACATCTAATTATTCTTTAATACAATTTTTACTTAAATTTTTATAAGTATTAAGTATATAAGTAGTTTATAAGTATTAAATTTTACATAAAAAAAAATTATTTATAGTTATTTTAAGAAACAGTTATAGTTAATTTAAGAAATAGAGAAAAAAACGATGCTCTATACCAGCGCTCGGAATTGGTTGCACATTTCGGGCCGATTCAAGAGACGACGCACAGTGGGGCCAAACGACATTTCGTGTTTCAAAAAAGGCTACAGTCTCGAAATGTTAACCGATTTCGATGCTTTTTTTTTTAAATGAAAGCTAACAAAATTTGCAATAACTTTGTGGAGGTAGATTTTTGTTTTTTGTTTTTTTTTATTATTAAATTACACATAAAACAATTAAATTTGTAAAATATAATGACTGAACAGCAAGTAACTCTTCAACAGTAAATATTTTCTGTAACTTAACATCGGGCACTGATATAGTTGAAATTAAACATTCAAATCCTGATTTAGGAACCATAAAGTTTAACCTAACTTCACAAAATGTTACCTTAACAAATAAAATTGATATGATAAAAATAATATAAAATTTTAATAAATTAGTAAATTAGTGAATTAATTAAAAGTAACACTAAATTATTATTATAAATTCGTACTTATTAAATAACTATTGTTCGTCAAGCAACAAGTTTTGAGCTTCCGCATCTATTGGAATTGGAAAATGCTTCCATTCGTTACGAAT